TGTTAGTTTTATCAGGATAATGGCTTCCAGCCCCATCCATGTCCCTGCCAAGGACATGATCTTGTTCTCTTCTATGGCTGCATAGTATTCCATAGTGTATATGTCAATATTTTCTTTATCCAGGTTATCACTGATGGGCATTTGGGTTGGTTTTATTTCTTTGCTCTTGTGAATAGTGCTGTAAAAAAATATGTGTGCATGTTTCTTTATAATAGAATGATTTATATTCCTCTGGGTATATACCCACTAATGAGATTGCTGGGTCAAATGGTATTTCTGGTTCTAGATCTTTGAGGAATCCCCACACCATCTTCCACAATGGCTGAACAATTTACATTCCCACCAACAGTGTAAAAGCATTCCTATTGCTCTGCAACCTCGCCAGCATCTGGTTTTTTTTTTTTTTTTTGACTTTTTAATAATTGCCATTCTGACTGGTGTGAGATGGTTTCTCATTGTGACTTTGATGTGCATTTCTCTAATGATCAATGATGTTGAAATTTTTTTCATGTTTGTTGCCCACATGACTGTCTTCTTTTGAATAATGTCTGTTCATGTCATTTGGCCACTTTTTAGTTCCTTGTAGACCCTGGATATTAAACCTTAATTGCTTTTAGTGATTTCATCACGACATCTTTGCCCCTGCTAATGTCCTGTTTTCATCTTCTTCTACGGTTTTTGTTGTTTTGGGTTTTACATTAAAGTCTTTAACTCATCTTGAGTTAATTTTTGTATGAAATGTAAGAAAGGAGTGCAGTTTCAATTTTCTGCATATGGCTAGCCAGTTCTCTCAGCATCATTTATAAAATAAGGAATTCTTTCCTCATTGCTTGTTTTTGTCAGGTTTGTTGATGGTTGTAGATGTGCAGTATTATATCTGAGTTTCCTAACTGATCCTTTGGTCTATGTGTTTTTTTTATGCCAGTTCCATGCTCTTTTGTTTTTATACCAGTACCATGCTCTTTTGCTATGTGTCTGTTTTTACACAAATACCATGCTCCATGTGTCTGTTTTTATAGCGGTACCATGCTCTTTTACTTACTGAATTATAGCCTTGTAATACACAGTTTGAAGTCAGGTAACATGATACCTTCAGTGTTGTTATTTTTGCTTAGAATTGTCTTGGTTATACAAGCTCCTTTTTTGGTTCCATATGAATTTTAAAATAGCATTTTCTAATTTTGTGAAAAATGTCAATATAGTTTAATGGGAATAGCATTGAATTTATAAATTGCTTTGGGCAGTATGGCCATTTTCATGATACTGATTTTTTTTCCTATCCATGAGAATGGAATGCTTTTTTATTTGTTTGTGTCCCCTCTGATTTCTTTGAGCAGTGGTTTGTATTTCTTCTTGAAGAGGCCCTTCACTTTTCTTGTTAGCTTAATTCCTAGGTATTTTATTCTCTTTGTAGTAATTGTGAAGGAGAGTTCATTTATAATTTGGCTCTCTGCTTATCTGCTGTTGGTGTATAGAAGTGCTTATGATTTTCACACATCAATTTTGTATCATGAGACTTTCCTGAATTTGCTTATCAGCTTAAGAAGCTTTTGGACTGAGACAATGGGGTTTTCTAGATAAAGGATTACATCATCTGCAAACAAAGACAATTTGACTTCCTCTCTTCCTGCTTGAATATCCTTTATTTCTTTCTCTTGGGTGATCACCCTGTCAGAACTTCCAATACTATGTTGAATAGGAGTTGTGAGGGAAGACTTCCTTGTTTTGAGCCAGTTTTCAGGAATAATGCTTCCAGCTTTTGCCTAGTCAGTATGATATTGTCTGTGGGTTTGTCATAAATGACTTCTATTATTTCGAGGTATATTCCTTCATTACCTAATTTATTGAGAGTCTATAGCATGAAAGGATGTTGAATTTTATTGAAGGCCTTTCTACATCTATTGAGATAATCATGTGGATTTTATTTTTAGTTTTGTTTATATGATAAGTTACATTTATTCATTTGCAGATGTTGAACCAGCCTTGCATCCTGGGGATGAAACCAACTTCATCATGGGGGTTAAGCTTTTTGATGTGCTTCTGGATTTGGTTTGCCAGTAGTTTACTGAAAATTTTTGCACTGATTTCATCAGGGAGCAAATGACCAAAATCCAAGAGAAAAATTAAATAATAAAAGTAGACCCATACTGATTCAGAATCTCAGTCACAAGAAAAAAAATTATCAAACCTATGATTAATAATTTTCTTTTTTTTTAAATTTTTTTAATTGCATTTTAGGGTTTGGGGTACATGCAAGATAGTTGCATAGGTACACACATGTCAGTGTGTTTTGCTGCCTTCCTCCCCTTCACCCACATCTGGCATTTCTCCCCAGGCTATCCCTCCCCAGCTCCCCCCCCGCTGTCCCTCCCCTATTCCCCCCAATAGACCCCAGTGTGTAGTACTCCCTTCCTTGTGTCCATGTGTTCTGATTGTTCATCACCCACCTATGAGTGAGAATATGCGGTATTTCATTTTCTGTTCATACGTATTAGAAAAATTGGAAATTTCCATGAAATAATAAGAACTAAATATTTAAATTTAAATTTAGATTTGAATACACTGATATAATAGTAGATTTGACATGGAAGAGAAGGAATAAGCAACCTGGAAAGCAAATTGGTAGAAAATGCCCACATATTTTAAAATTCAGAAATAGACATCATATTTGCATGTCAATATGTATGTGTGTGGCATAGTGAAAAATCTAAGGAATGTATATTTGAAGTCTCGGAGAGAAGGAAGATACTTAGGTAGCAGCAAAATTTGAAGAAATATCTGCTACAATTTTTTCAGAATAGGGAAAACATCAATGTACTGATGCATGAAAACTTATAAATACCAAGTACAGATACAAAACAAAACAAATAATTTTCTAGTATGTCATAATAAAATTTATAAAAGCCATTGATAAGACATCAAAACTCTCCTGAATATTTTCATCACATTCTGATTTTTTTTCTAAATCTGATTTGCATTTTTCCTTCATGATTTTCATAATTTTCCAAATACATTTTAACTCATTTAAAAATTATGAGTTATACTTTTTTTTTTTTTTTTGAGACGGAGTTTCGCTCTTGTTACCCAGGCTGGAGTGCAATGGCGTGATCTCGGCTCACCGCCACCTCTGCCTCCTGGGTTCAGGCAATTCTCCTGCCTCAGCCTCCTGAGTAGCTGGGATTACAGGCACACACCACCATGCCCAGCTAATTTTTTGTACTTTTAGTAGAGACGGGGTTTCACCATGTTACCAGGCTGGTCTTGATCTCTTGACCTCGTGATCCACCCACCTCGGCCTCCCAAAGTGCTGGGATTACAGGCGTGAGCCACCACACCTGGCCGAGTTATACTTTTTAACTTGATAGTGCACCTAGCCTTCTGATGTGTTTTGTTGTCTTCAGGGAGGTTATTCTGCTCCGTATTCTGCATCTTTGTACTGGGTCTCATCATGATACTTTTCTATTGCTCTTCCTTATGTAAAATTGGTATCCTTAAACTCTTGGAATGAAGTGGGGTTCACTAAACCATTTCCAACTTCACAGAACTTTCTTTTCTATTGCTTTTGTGTAAAGTTTATATAGATGTTGCTTTTTGAGATTTTCTTGCTGCTCCTTCACAATCCTTGGTCTGTAAACTCTCTTCCCTTTTTCATTCTGATCCTTATTCTGACTAATTTTTATTATCTTCATAGGCTCTATTTTGAAGGAAAACTTGATGAGTCAGTTGGAGAAACTGTGAGAGCATAACTGCTTTTGGGGCAGTTCATTTGTCTCTTTCTGGGTACCTTTTGCACTCACTCACTGTTAGAGTGAACAAAACCCCTGCCCATTTCAGCTGCTCCCTTAAAACCAAACCCCTTATGCCGCAGTGAATACTAGTGGCTATTTGGCTATTATCACTTTCTCATGTCATTGTCAGATGTCACTCCAATTTTGTTTTTCTTATTTCTCCAGCATTAATGCCAATACTATTCAGGTCTTTTGATGATGTATGTGTACCCACTTGTATTTTAGTGTCCATAGGAGTAATTTTCCAACTAGTTTTGTGGTAAGTGTTATCCAAGGATTTTACTTTTTGCAATATGGTTTCTCCACCTATTTTTATTTGTGGATTTGGAAGGAATAAAAAATAAAGCCACTGCTGCAACCACTTTTTCAAAAGTGACTGTGTCATTTATGAGATAAGCTTTGATTTCACAATTTGACAAAAATATTGCAAGTTAGTAAGATTAGAGGACAAATGTTTCATGAATCTAAGTGCAGAAATCCTAAACAAAATGTTAGCAAATAAATGTCAGCAATATGTAAAAAGGGTAGTACATTATGACCAGTTGGTAGTTATTCCAGCAATGCAAGGCTGTCCCAACATAAAACAATCAACCAATGTCAGTCACCACATTAATAAAATAAAAAAGAAAATCACAATATCATTTAGTATATATACAAAAAAGACACCTGATAATTATAATTACCCATTTGTAATTTTAGAAAACCTTCCCAAATTCCTAGGAACAAAAGTAAACTTTCTTAAGTTTATAACATTTGCAGAAAATATCATATTTTATTTAGCTGTGAAATATTAAAAATTTATTCCTGAGATAAAAAGTGAGCAATGATGTCCACTGTCATGAACCCTATTTTGACTAGAAAGTCAAAGCTAGTAGATAAGCCTCACCACCACCCTCCATCAAAAAGTAAAAGAACTATGAAATAAAATTATTATTTCCATGTGACAAAAATATTTATATTGAAAATAAAAAAACTGGTAAACTCTAAAAAATCAATAAGCTATTTTAGGAAGGTTGTTAAATGCAAGTTTAATAAGTAAATGAACTGCAGTTCTGTATTTTAATACTGCAACAAATTGATAATAGTGAAAATTTCAAAGCAATCCATTCATAAAACTATCAAAATTAATTACATAGAAATAAATATAAAGATATGTGAAAGTTATCTACCCAGATTTAAAACATTTTTGTAAGAATTACAGAAGATAAAAAATGGGGAACTATATTGAGTTTATTTATTGCACAATTTAACACGATTAAGGTCTTATCTCTCTATTAACCCATAGATTTACCCATTATAACTCAAAGCCAAGCATTTTCTTTTATGGAAGCAAACAAGCTTAATTCTAAAATTTATTTAGAAATGCAAACAAAAGACCCTTAATAATGAACTCACATTACTAGATATCCAAACATATTTAAACATCTCTTGTCATTTAAAAGATGTGTGTGTGCATAGGGATATGCAAATAATTATAGCAGAAACAGAATAGTGAATTCACGTTTAGATCCACTATGACTGCAGACAACTGAATTATCTATCATTAAAGTACCACTGCAGTACAGAAAAGATTACCTTCGGATAAATATTAAATAAACAGGAAATTTACATAAGAAACCTTGGTCTGTACCTCAAACCCTGCACAAAGTCAATTCCAGATGAATCACATGTCTAAATGTGAAAATAAAGCTTCATAAAGATAACATTGGTTCATTGAGCCTGTTTCTTGATGAGGGCAAGCTAGACTTCAGGAACAGCATGAAAAAGGGATCAGACTCTCATCATTCCAATCATGGTTTGTCTTTTGGTAACCTGTAAATAAATTACTAATATGTAAATCATTCCTGGATATTCTTTATTTTCTTAAGATTATAAATGTGTGCCCTGAGAAAGATAGTAATATGAGAATGGAAAGACAAGACACAGACTGGGAAAAATATTTGCAAAACATGTATTTCATCAAAGACAAAATCCAAAATGTACAAAGGCCTATTAAAACTAACAACCTAATTTAAAAGTAAACAAAAGATTTGAACATCAAACAATATATGTGAATGCTAAATAAGCATATGATAATAAGTACAGTATAATTCATCTTTAGGGAAGTGCAAATTAAAACAACAATGAGAAATGACCGCAAACATAATAGAATGTCTAAAGTCCAAAAAAACTGATTATATTAACTGCTGGCAACAATGTGAAGTAGTAGGAATTCTCATTCACTGCTAGTAAGAATGCAAAGTGGTGAAGCAACTTCAGAAGACAGTTGGAGTTTCTTACACAGTAAGACATACAACCCAACTAATCTGATAAGTTATGTCTACACAAAATTTGCATGAAAGTGTTTATGGTAGCCAAAAGTGTTTCATAAAGGTGAAAATACTAACAAAAAAGATGAACATACCAACAAGCTGTGGTACATTTATATAATAGAACACAATTCAGGAACTAAAGGGAATCAAGACCCTGAAAGACATTAATACATTTTAAGTGCACATTGATCAATGTAAGAAGCCAATCTGAAAAGACTGGATTATAAGAGACTGGATCATAGAGCTAAATGTCAATTGCACAACTATAAAACTCCCTGAAAATTACATGGGAGAAAACCTAGATGACCTTGGGTACTGAAGTGACATTTTAGATGTAACACCAAGGGCATGATCTATTTTTAAAAAATGAATAAGCTGGACTTCATTAAAATAAAAAAAATTCTGCCACATGAAAGACAATATCAAGAGAATAAGATAAACCATTGACTGGGAAAAAATATTTGTAAAAGATTCATTTGATAAGGACTATTATCCAAAATATACAGAGAACTAATAAAACTGAACAATGAGAAAACAAGCAACTCAATTTAAAAATGGGCCAAACACCTAATACCTACTCTAAAAAGTTACACAGATGCATATAAACATACTAAAAGATGTCCCCTGTATTAGTCTGTTCTTGTGTTGCTATAAAGAAATACTTGAGACTGGGTAATTTATAAAAGAAAGAGATCTAATTGACTCCCAGTTCTGCATGGCTGGAAAGGCTTCAGAAACCTTACACAATCATGGCAGAAGGGGAAGAGGCACATCTTACATAGTGGCAGGGGAGAGATAGAATGCATGCATAGGAGGAACTGTCAAACACTTATAAAAGCATCAGATCTCATGAGAACTCACTCCCTGTCATAAAAACAGCCTGGGGGAACCACCCTCATGATCCAATCACCTCCCACCAGGTTCTGTCCTCAACAAGTGGGGATTATGGGGATTGCAATTCAAGATGATATATGGGTGGGGACACAGAGCCTAACCGTATCACACCCCATTATATATTTTCTGAAAAATGCATATTAAAACAACAATAAGATACCTCTACACATCTACTAAAATAGCCAAAATTTGGAACACTGACAAAACCAAATTAGGGAGAAAATGTGGAGCAACAATAACTCATTCATCGTGGGTGGGAATGAAAAATTCTACAGCCACTTTGGAGTTTTGCAGCTCCTTAAAAAACTAAACATATTTTTTCCATATGATCCAACCATAATACTCCTTGATATTTACCCAAGGAATTGAAAACATATGTGTACACAAAATCCTGTACAAGGATGTTTATAGTAACTTTATTAATAATCATGAATACTTAGAGGCAGCCAAGATGTCCATCAAAAGGTGAATGGATAAACTGTGGTACATACGGACAATGAAATATTATTCAGTAATTTAAAAAATGAGTCATGAAGTCCTGAAAAGATATGGAGGCAACTCGAGGAAAATATTACTCAGTAAAATCAGCCAACATAAGAAGGCTACATACTGCATGATTCCAATGATTTGACATTCTAGAAAGGGCAAAATTATGGAGACAGTAAGTTATTAGTGGAGCGGTTGTCAGAAGTTGGGGTGGGAAGAAAGGGATGTGTTGGCAGAGCACAGAAGAAATTGAGGCCAGTGAAACTACACTGTGTACTATGACAATAAATACATATCATCACACATTTGTCCAAAACCATGGAATTTACAACTCCAAGAGTGAAACCTAAACTAGAGACTTTGGGTGATGATGATGTGTCAATGCAGGTTCATCATTTGTAACAAATGAATCCCTCTGGAGGGGGCTGTTCATAATGTAGGAGGTTGCGCATGTGTTGAGCAAAGAGTATATAGGAAATTTCTGTACCTTCCCCTTAATTTTTGTGTGAACCTAGAACTACTAAAAGACTAAAAGTCTGTAAAAAAACTACATACTGTATGATTTCATTCATAAAATATTCTGCAAACGTATTACTATAGAGATGGTAAACAAATCAGCGATTGCCAGGGTTTTATGGCAACTCTGATATGATGTGACAAGAATGGCACTGTAACTCTGTTACTGTTATCTGCTTCCTAAATCTATAATCTCAATCTAGAGATTACAGCACATAGATCCCAGTGAGGGATATCATACAAAAACACCTGGCCACTAGCCCTCAAAACTATCAGGGTGAAAAGGAAAGTATTTCCACCAAGAATAAAGTGGCTTTGGAAATATGGGACACTGTATTATTTTTGCACATTTTTTGTAATCATAAAACTGCTGTAAATTTTAAAAGTTATTTAAAAAAAGAAAACAATGCCTTTCAAGGAAAATAGGTTACATGGATTGAAGAGGTAAAGTACTGTAGGATGGTGAAAAGATTCTGTATGATACTGTAATCGTAGATCATGATACTATGTGTTTATCAAACCCATAGAAATTTATAATAGAAATTAAATGGCACCTGCCCAGCAAAAGAAATAACCAGCAGATTAAACAGAAAATCCACAGAGTGGGAGAAAATATTCTCAAACTAGGCATCCAACAAAGGAATAACATCCAGAATTTACAAGGAAATCAAACAATCAGCAAGAAAAAGGCAAATAATCTCATCAACAAGTGGAGAAGTGACATGAATAGACAATCTCAAAGGAAAATATATGAATGTCCAACAACATATGAAAATATTGCTCAACATTGCTGATATCAGGGAAATGCAAAATAAAACCACAATGAAATAACATCTTACTCCTGAAAGAATGATTATAGTTAAAAAAATAAAAAAATAATAATAGATGTTGGAATGGATGTAGTGAAAGGGTACACTTTACACTGCTGGTAGGAATGTAAAGTAGTACAACCACTGTGGAAAATGGTATGGAGATTCCTTAAAGAACTAAGAGTAGGACTACAATTTGATCCAGCAATTCCATTACTGGGTATCTACCCAGAGGAAAAGAAGTCATTATACGAAAAGGACACTTGCACATGCATGTTTATAGCAGCACAATTTGCAATTGCAAAAATATGGAACCTGCCTAAATGTCCATGAGCCAAGAAATGGAAAAGGAAAGTGTAATATATATATATATGATGAAATACTACTCAACCATAAAAAGGAATGACATAATGGCATTCGCTACAACCTGGATGGAGTTGAAGACCATTGTTCTAAGTGAAGTAACTCAAGAATGGAAAACCAGACGTCGTATGCTCTTACTTATAAGTGGGAGCTAAATTATGAGATCACAAAGGCATGGACTTTGGGGAGTTGAACAGAATGGTGGGAAGGGGGCAAGGGATAAAAGACTACACAATGGGTACATTGTACACTTTCCAGGTGATGGGTGCCCCAAAATCTTGGAAATCACCACTAAGGAACTTATCCATGTACTAAAAAACCACACATACCCCAAAAATCATTGAATTAAAAAATAAAAATAAATAAAACATTTTCAAAAGTTAAAAAAGAAAGGGTGAAGCTAGTATACACAAATTAAATTATTTAGGAATTTGGCAAAACTAGAAATAAAATTAAGAATGAGAAAAATTAAACTATATTACAAATATCTGAAAACCACCTCACTGAAGGGGCTGGGGAAAATATTGCTGATCTAAGCAGCTTTGGAAATGAGTGGAATCTGTAAGACTAACGCAAAGAAACTATACACTTGCACTATACTCTAGTTCATAAAGTATTTTCCCCACAAGACTGTGATTAACAATTTAGAAATTTGGAAATAACTACTCATATCTAAGCAATTAAAACATTAAGTAAATCAGTGGTGAATTGTGGAAGCCAAGTTTCTCACTGTTGAACTGGGAGGTTGCAAAGAAGGAAAGAAGGCTAGGATAATTCATATGGTAATGGTTTAGTGTTGGAGACATCAGTATTATGTCTACCTGAACATACTATGGATGGATAAATATTAAAATACTTATAATGAGTTTATACACAGTATAGTATGCATACATAAGTTTTCTTCCTCTGTCATCTGAGAGGGCCTAGAAGCATGATGCCCCAGTAGCAGTGAGCATACCTACTGCCAAAATATGGCTTGCTCCTACAATTTACAATAAAAAAAATCAAGAGCTCCTTGAGTAACAAATAATTTAGTAATGGAATATAATACAAAGAATAAAATAAATATCCATAAGTCTGTGCTAATATAAAAAACCTTAAATAAATAAATAAATGTGGGAAATAGACATAACTACCATGTAGAAGAACTCAAAGAAATTTTTGCCAGTACTTCAACTTCAAGGAAATGGAGCATAACTCCCCACTTTTTACACAAACACTCACAGTGATCTTCAGCTATTTTAACAATTAAAGAACAGCCAAGATCCAAATGCATATACTTCTGTAAACGGAGCCAAAAGACAAAAAGAACAGAAGTTATAACAACCAGCACTTTGGGAGGTTGAGGCGGGTGGATCAATTGAGGTCAGGAGTTTGAGACCAGCCTGGCAAACATGATGAAACCTCATCTCTACTAAAAATACAAAAATTAGTTGGGTGTGGTGGTGGGTGCCTGTAATCCCAGCTACTCAGGAGGCTGAGGTAGGAGAATAACTTGAACCCAAGAGACAGAGATTGCAGTGAGCCAGGTTTGCACCATTGCACTCCATCCTGGACAACAGAGCAAGATTCCATCTAAAAAAAAAAAAAAAAGAAGAAGAAATTATAACAACCATGTAAATAGTGACATAAAAGAAGCAAATGGAATTTATGAACCCAAGAAATACCATGAATGTTAGTATATTTGGAAAATGGCTTCCAAAATGCTAAATAATAGTTCTTTATTTATTAAGTTGCAATATTCTTGATTCTTTCCACTGTAATTGACAGACCTCCAATGAAACTGAAGAAAGAAAGAAAAATTTATTTGTTCAGGGAACTGAAACACTCAAAGATATCTGCTGACATGAGAAATGGATAGAACTAGACATTCAAAAGTGTCATTGAATATGTGTATCTCTCTACATATACCAATAAACCAGTCACTGCTTTACTCTGGCTGGCTTTATTCCTGAAAGGCTTCCACCTCATGACAGAAGGTGACTAGTGGCAGCTCCAGGTTTATATTTTTCCGCTCAGCAGCATCTTTAGAAAATATAGCTACTCCCTCCTAATTGCTCCCCTCAAAAAAATCCAAGATTGAGCCTAATTGGACAAGCTAATTTGGGTCATTGCTTACCAGTAAAATAAAATATACTGGTATCCTTCAGAACTGAATTATACAGTCATCTCTACCTAATCCTTATGAACTGACAGTGAGGTGGTAACTGAAGAAAAATGGGCCTTGGTAATAAAACAAGTCCAAATTTTTTATATAATAAGCATTATTTCAAGTTTTTGGCTGAATATATGTAAAAACAGAAAAAGTCATTAAATATAAAAATAGAAATAGGAGTATCTCTGAGGCAAGAGTAGAATATCATATCCAGTTCTCAGATGTCATCAGGCAATCAATTGATATTGTCTAATAATAAATAGAGGTTGAATGAATAGTGAACAAAGCAAGAAAAATGAAAACCTTTTTATTTATATACTGTATTTTGTTTTTTCTGTTTTGAATTTTGTATCCATATAGTGTCTTTTAAAAACCTACTACCAGCACTCTTGTGCACAGAAGAATACACATTTGATTATGTGATGCACCTTTTTGAAGAAGGGGAAGTATATGTTATTTTGTTATTCTTTAAACTTAAATAGATGATGAGACTTTAATAAAGATTGAAATAATGGCTAAAGTAATTTTGGATTTTATTAGGTAACTTACACTTTCTGTAGCAAAGTAAAGTCTGATTATAAACCATGTATACAAATTTAATAATCTGAATTTAGGTTAGTATAAGTGTAATATAGTTTGACTGCTATTTATCCTAGTTCATTAAATGACTTTTTCTTCCTCTTGATGTGGCAGAATATTCTTATTGTCACCAGAATGAAAAACAAAAAGTACTATGAATACAAAATTTCAAAGAAATCAGTTGGCCTTAAATAAAGATAGCAAAAGTGTCCCTGTTCAGTCATGCCTCATAAAGCTTCTCTCATGCAACTGAATGGCCATGTATTTTTATATTCTCTATAAACAGGCCATAAAATGGCATAATATCTCAACAAGTCCTGTATCTGAGATATACATATACTAAATAAAAAGAAGTAGTCCATTTTAGTCATGTGGGTTCTTTGATTGCAAGCAGCAGAGACTGACTCAGGATAAGCAAAATAAAATATGTATATATAGGGGAAGGTTATAGAGTCAGTCATAAAATCAAAGCGATTACTTGTTATGGACTGCACCGTGTCATCCCAAAATTCATATTGGAGTCCTAACCCCAAGTAACTCTGGATGTGACTATATTTGAGATAGATCTTTTAGAGAGGCAATTAAGTTAAAACAAGATCATATAGATGGACCCTAACCTAATATGATTGTTGCCTTTTTAGAAGAGAAAATTAGGACACAGTCACACACAGAAAGAAGATTATGTGTAAACACAGGAAGAAGACACACATCTGCAAGGCAGAGAGAGGGGCCTCAGAAGAAACCAAACCATGATCCCAGCCTCCTAGCTTCCAGAACTGTGAGGAAATAAATTTCTGTTGTTAAATCATTCATTCTGTGGTATTTTGTTATGACAGCCCTAGCAAACAGATACATTCCTGAAGAATCAAGAAAATAAGGTTATATCAAGGAATTGTAGTAAATACTAATAAATATTTACTTTAGAACTGCAGCCTTTGCATGGGAAAAAAACTGTGAATTCTGTCCATCCTTACAAAACCAAAGTAACGCAATTCTGTGAGAAAGTAGCGTATTGACTAAGCTTAAATAATATGCCTACTCTTGGCCAGGAGAAAAAAATATTACCCTTATTTACAGATACACCAACCCTACATGAAATAAGAAAGGGAAGAAACCTGAATTATATAATAAATAATGTCTGCTATACCTACTTACAACTTCCAGGCTGTAACCCCTGACAAAGAAAGATTAAGTACAGAGTCCCAAAGTCGACAAATGGGGAAAAGCCCAAGGTGTTCTATGACAGAACTGAAACTGCATGTCTGTAGAGTGATGGGTGACAGCGATAAGTGAGTAGGAGGAAAATTAATAGAGGAAATATACTTTAGAGAGGGCCACATGGGTCACAGAAAGAAGTTTAGAATTAATGCTTGGTGCAGAACAGTCTACAATTTAAAACATGTATTGTATGAAGCCACTGCAGTTTTACTCAGGAACCACATTATCTGTTACACACTTTTAAATGACAAAACTATTTTGTTGCGAATAGACAAAGAAATGTGTGTAGCAAGGAATGAGTCAAGAGGACAGTTACTATACAAGAGGGGGGCTGCTTACTTGGACCAAGTCAGAAGCAGAATTGTTGATGAGATGTGGCTGTGTTCAGGATGTATTTTGAAGGAAAACCTAAGAGAATTTGCTGATTAATTGACTATCAAGAGAGGGAAAAGGGGATAGGACCAAACTCTTAGGTCTTTGACCAGGATAATTAAGTGAATGATACATAATTAACTGAGAGAGTGGATACAGAGAGGTACAGTTGGGGAGGAGAGGAGGTACTTGATAAGAAATTAACAAGTCAGGGTTGACTGTGTTAATTCCAGATGCCTATTCTTCAGAAAAAAATTAAAAGTTCCACTGTGTTAACCACTGAGTAAATAAGAAGATGTATTCAGAAATACCTTCAGTAAGGTTGAGTTTTACTGTTGACTTTGACAAAAGCAGTTTCTAATTAGTGGTGGAGACAAAAATCTGATTGATTGGGGTCGAAGAAGAAAATATGAAGAAGCAGAAAAAGCAAAAGGAGAGTTGAAGAGTTTGCCTCAAAATGGTGCAATGATATCAGAAGAGAGCTGAACTGGGAAATTAATTTACTGTATTAGTTCATTCTCACACTGCTATGAAGAAATACCTGAGACTGGGTAATTTATAAAGAAATGAGGTTTAATTGACTCACAGTTCTGCATAGCTGGGGAGGCCTCAAGAAACTCATTAATTATGGCAAATGGCACCTCTTCACAGGGCGGCAGGAGAGAGAATGAATGCCAAGCGAAGGGGGAACCCCCTTATAAAATCATCAGATCTTGTGAGAACTAACTGTCACAGAACAGTGGGTGAAACTGCCCCCAGTGATTCAATCATCTCCATCTCGTCCTGCCCTTGACACATGAGGATTATTATAAGCCAAGGTGAGATTTGGGTGGATACACAGCCAAATCATATTATTCTGCCCCTGGTTCCTCCCAAATCTTATATCCTTACATTTCAAAACACAATCATGCCCTTTTAATAGTCCCCCAAAGTCTTACCTCATTCCAGCATTAACCCAAAAGTCCAATCCAAAGTCTCATCCCAGACAAGGCAAACCCCTTCCACCCATGAGCCTGTAAAATGAAAAGCAAGTTACTTATGTTCTAGATACAATGGGGGTACAGGCATTGGGTAAGTACACCCATTCCACCTGAAAGAAATCGGTCAAAACAAAAGGGCAATAGGCCCCATGCGAGTTGGAAATCCAATAGGGCAGTCATTAAACCTTAAAGTTCCAAAATGATCTTCAGAGAAACTTTTGTCATTTTGTTCTTGATTGTGTCTTCAAAATGAGAGCTTGTAGTGAATAATGTTCTAATTTTGCAAGATTGCAACTTGTAAAATTTTGTAAAAATTCTTAAAATGTTAATAAAATATGAGTTGATCTGAATTCTATTTGTAAAATTGAGATTCCTTTTATCAAAAGAGAATACATTCATAATTAAATTTTCTATAGCAACATAGGCTCATTTATAATAAGAGCTTTAAGGAAGAGTGAATTGTTAAATAAGTAAATTTATCTGTCTATTAAATCAAGAAATTAAAAGAACCTTGACAGAGAAAAACATTAAACAATGGCTGCATTTTTAATTAGTATTTTAAACCAAGAATGTCCTTTCTGAATTGATGTAGAACAAAGATAAGTAAATTATGACTGTATATAAATTAGTGAGAAGTAAATATTATTGACATGAAATTTGATGATAAAAATGAGAAAGCAATGATAAAGTTTTAATATATATGTACTTTTCAATATAATTATAAGTAATGGGGTTTTGACCATTAATTTTATTTTTGTAAGTTCATTTTATTATTTCTTTAGTTAACAAAAACATAGAAAAAGGTGGCAAGGGGAAAACTGTGAGGAAAATGTTTTTTAAAAGTTATTGTCAAAATTTCTACTTACTAGAGAAACAAATGTGAATTTGTCCCACTTCTCACTTGTCATTTGATTAAGCATTTTGCAGATATGAAATCTAGATATGGGAAAACATTAAAAAATTTCTCAAATTACTTAGGTGTCCTCTAATCCTTGGAAGGCACTCAGCCTCATAGAAGTGAGTTCTTTGATATAATATTTTGCATCACTGAAGTTCAAACTTTATTGTTTTTTACATCAACATATCTGTATGTAAGCAATACAGTAGGACAGGAAAAAGTTTCTATTATGTATATGAATTTGGCCTCCATTAGCTAGAAAGATCATTTAATCTAAGCCAGATAGGAATTGCTGTTATATATTTAGCATAGGAGCACCTTAACTGATTCGTGAATTATAAGTGGTATTCCATATCCAACCGTATTTGACTTCTCATCTATTCAGATCTTTGTTTTTGTATATTAACATGTCTTCTCTCCCTGTACTAGAAATCTTTTTGCTCCCTTTTATATTAAAGGCATTTGTTACACCCTTCATGGCTGGCCTTCCTCCCACTCCACCCCATCCAATTATGTTTGTAACTTTCTGGCATGTAAATGTTGATAGTTGTAGGACAAGAGATTATCTAGTATAATAGATTATCAAATATAAAATGAGTTTTTTTGCTACCACTTTCTTACAACCTACGACTCTTCAGTCTCTGAAAGCCTGATAAAACTATTGGCAATTCTGTAATTCATTACTTTGTACTCTATAGTGCCTGTTTAACTCTGATGGGATTTGTTCTGTTAAATTATACTCCATAATAAAAACAAGTATTAGCTCTCTGTCTTATAAAACAATGACAAATAAATTATTAAGGCAAAGCCTAACAAGAAAAATAAATTGCGTTGTGGTATTTTGAATTGGTGGTTTGAAACTCAGAAAGCAGAGATACAAATTTTCTAGAACTTAATTTGAGTCGCCTCACTGATTCTTGGAAAGGAGAAGGAAAGAAGAGGAAAAGGTGGCCTGTGAGTAGTTTTTCTACTTGCCTATTGGCTACATGTTATATGTTCTGGAAAACAGAGAAGCCGATTTTCTGTATGTATAAGAGGCATGTAAATACAAATTCAGTGTTTCAGATGTGAAAATGCAGCATAAAGACATTTCCTTCCCATTGATCGAATAAATTTTTTTTCTGTTTTATTTACAAATGTATTATAACGTGGTTCTTCCAGAGTTTTGTGGTAAGCATCATTATGGTACCCATGTACTTAAAATTGCATTCAAATACATCTCTTTCCCAAACTCCTGTAACAAATTTTTAAGTTTATTCAGTACTCTTCTTCTTGCTAATCTTAACACCAAATACAATATTTTTTGTTGTTGTTACTGGGTAGCAATTAAAGAGTTTGTGCCCTTGACATTAAAAGGGCTTCAGGGAATTGATTACAGTTAAGTACCTCAGATAAACCAGCCTGGAGTTTTCTGGCATACAGTTGTTCATTCTACTTGGATGGAAAGCAAATTGGAAGGAAAGAGACACATTTGGTCTGGCAGAGTGATACTTTTGAAATATCTACAGATCCATTTTCTTTTCAAGTTCACAGTAGTTTTGGGGAGAATTCTTGCCAATATCTCAAAGAAGCTGCTTGCCTCGGAGGAGAGACATAGGAAAGAAAAGTTGTGTGAAAAACGGAGAGTGTAAAAGAGGGGAAAGCAGGCATTTTTGTACTCTTTTACTTGATTTGTCCTCGATCTACTTCTGGATGTGTTTTGGCTAGAAATTTTTTTTTCTTTTGCACTTCAGGAAAGACATGGGTTTTTAAAAGACAAATGAGATTTTAAAATGAGAAAAAATCGTTTTTTAATTTCACCAACCTAATTCCATCAAGAGTGTTAGTAGAGAGTCTAGAATCACTTCAATACATGCCAGTCTTTCCAGGAAGTGATGACATAGGATATTTCAGCACAATCTGTGTCCTTTGAGTATTGAGAGAAGGAAAACAGAGATTTTCATCTCAGATCCTCAATTCCCTATGCTCTTCGTGTTCCTAAAAATGCCATCTTAACAGATCTGTTCAGCCTGAAACATGTCACCTAACTTCAGTTTGATCCAAAGATGTTTCCGTGAAGAGTCTTTGATGCTGGACATATGTTCAAAGGATGTATCGCCAAAGTGTAAAAAGAGACTAGCATTCCTTTCATTTTTGATACTACTGAGTTAACACCTATATAAATTTTTAGGAGTACCTTCCTTCATAACTATCATTCTAATTTCACACCTCATGTCCTGCCTCTGGTTTGTCAATGACTACCATTTGACAGCAAAATGGCTAAGTGAGGTTCTAAAACAGTATTTCTTTTATATAAGTCGTTCAAGACAAAGAATACATTTATGGTTAAGCAATTTCTTAAGATGTAAGTTTAGCAGCTTAGTTCTGCATCTATAGACTAATTAGTAATTTCCACATAAATTCTTGTAAACCACTAAGTCAAATTACCTGCTTTATATTGACTTCCTGTGGGCTTTCAGTGCCTTTAAATATAGGAGTGGACAGGTCCAGAAATCAATGGCTCTTTTGTGTCTAACCACGTGGACTTTAGTCTCAGTGGGCTAATTATTATTGAAAGAAAGAAAAAAACTGAATTTCATTGTGTAATTTCTTGTTAAAATTTTTGATGAAAATGAACTGATAAAACAAAATTAACCCTTTGTTTTACTGAAATAGTGATTCCTGTATGGGGATCATGACGATGATGTTCAGTCTGGATACGGTTTTTGATACTTCAATGAAGTCATTAAACCAATATTAAAAACCCATATGAATTGATGAATTCATTTAAATTGTATAAAATGAAAATATTTTAATAATGGTTGGAATTTTATAGTATCCAAATATCCATGAAATTTATAGAAAAGGAAATTAATTACAAAAAAAGAAATTGATACATAAAGAAAAAGAAAATGTAATCAATTTTTCAACAATGTATATACAAAGTTTACACCAAATTCTAGATTATAAATCTACTTAATGTATCTAGACAACTAATCAAAAACTTCATGAACAATGATAAAAGAAAAAATTGTGAATTCTATTTTTTACCAACAGAATTGTAAAAATGTTCAGCTTTCAAAGCAAAAATGCAAAGAAAAGTCACTAGACAATCATGAAGCTGGCATAAAATTATTGTTCTGTACTTGATGTTGGGTGTAAAGTTATTATGGTTGCAGGTTCCACACATACAAACCATGAAGTTAAGTAAATTCAACAATCTTTGTATTAGTCTGCTCCACTCAAAAAGCTCTATAAGTCATTTAAACATATCTAAATAAGCAAAAAATAAAAACAGCAGAAAATGATTAATTTTCAGAAGCTTACACATGTTAACAAAAATATAATTCAGTTGCAGAAAAATTAGCAATTGAACATATAAATGAGACAGATGACTGGATACAGTAAAATAACTTGAGTAACCAGAAAATCCACAAAATTGCTTTTTTTGGACATATCTTCTGATTCTTATGTAATTTAGCACTACTATTTTTATTTTCTATAACAAATAGAATTTTGCTATTTCTATTTGTTATCATGCCTTGAGAGTAAAGAAATGTTAGAGTGTATAGAAGAAAAGTATGTAAAATATGACAAAGAGCTGGAAGCATTAGATTATTTCAGTTGTCCTTAGAAAATACTGTCTAAATCAAAAATGAAACCTTACTTTGTTTTTAAACAAAGATCATTTAACAAGTAACTCAGCAAACTGACACAAGAACAGAAAATGAAATACCACATGTTCTCACTCATAGGCGGTTGATGAACAATGAGAACACATGGACACAGGGAGGGGAGCACTGCACACTGGGGTCTATTGGGGGGAATAGGGGAGGGACAGCAGGGGGGGTAGTTGGGGAGGGATAGCATGGGGAGAAATGCCAGATGTGGGTGAAGGGGAGGAAGGCAACAAATCACACTGCCACGTGTGTACCTATGCAACTATCTTGCATGTTCTGCGCATGTACCCCAAAACCTAAAATAAATAAACAAATACAACAAGTAACCACCAACCAGTAAATTTTAAGAAAATGATATACAGTTCTCCTAAACAAGTAAACTTGTAAGAACTCAGAATAAACAATTTAGTAGGTAACAATCACGTATTCCTCTACCAAATACTAGAATATTGTCAATCTTTCTACCTTTAGGTCTTGAA